ACCGCGTTACAGCAATTTTGAAGAGCTCATCAGTGGAGTTGAGGGTGTGATTCCTCCGAACAAGTGTTGACACCTACTTAGGGCAAGCGAATACCCCCCAAGCTCTGCTTTGTACTGTTGAGTACAAAGGTGATGTGCTGCAGTATGTCCTGCCTAGATCTTCATCTAGGCTGCAAGTTAAGCAGGACTAGCCGCTTCTTCAAACCTGGCACAGTTCTTGAAACCAAATACTTGCTTAAAATTGATTTGGTGCTAAATGAAGCTGAAGGGCTGGACAAGAGCTGTCCTCTGACTTCACAGCTGTCTTTGCCCTGAAGGCAGGAAAGAGCAGATGCCACCCACAAGCAAAGCTGTAAAATTCCCTGCAAAGTTGTTTCTTTTTTTTTGGGTTTCTTTTTTTTTTTTTTTTCCCTCCCTGACTCCAGAGAAAAGGAGGGGGAGGAGGCAGGGAAAGGTGTAATTTGGACGCGATGCTCCAGAGCACATCTTGGGTGGATGCTCCCCATGTGGTTGGAGGCTCGTCCCCCTCGAGCAGTTGTATCTCTGGAAGCTTTTTGGGAGCAAAAGGAGGGAAAAGGGTGTGGACCACTGTGTATTCAAGCTCAGCTCTGTGGGCAGCTACTGCTGGCTGACGTGCAACCCTTGCTCTGATCTTCCCCAGGCTTTCAGAGCAGGTTCAGCCTTGCTTTGGGCTGGGGCTTGCTGCGCTGCAGCTGGGATGCGCAGGGGCTGTCTGCCTTCTCCCTTCTCCTGATTGCCCTGTGCTATAGGGCCCCTCACCAGAGAGGGGGGGTCTCTGATTTTAAGCTTGATTGAGGCATCTGCAATAACTTTTTTCTAGGTGCGCACGCAGACACGCGAGACTTTAGGGCGATGCTCATCCCTGCAAGCATCCTGGGGGCAGGGATGACCCATGCTCTCTGGGAAATCCAGAAACCGCAAGATTATTATTTTTTTTTAATTATTATTATTTTTTTTAATCTCCAGCAACCCGGCCGTCTCCTTGACCCAAGCAGAGACGAAACGCGCTTGCCTTATTTTAGGGCAGGGAGCGTAGCCTTGCACCCGCTTTGCAGAGAGTTCCGCGAGGATGCGGGGGCTTCGATAACGCCGCCAGCCGCGGTGGGCTGAGATCGCGTGTAGCCACAACAGCAGTGCTGCTCCCCTGCCTTCCCCGGGGTGGGCAGGGGCTGTTTTGAACGGCTGTTTTGAAGCCGTGATAACCTTGTCCTTGTGGGGGGAGCACAGGGGGAAGGCTTTGCCTCCCGGAGTGTGGCTGTGGGCAGCACATTCAAGGCTGCTCTGCAAGAAAACACCCCCTCCGAAAAGCCTTTTCTCCTCTTTCTGCGTGCAGGGGGCACGATGGGGCTTGTATCATGCCATCCACGCAGGAGAGCTG